GCATGCGGATTTCATCCCCATGCATGTCCATACGTACACGTCTCTCCTCTACCAACTCCGCATGCGGATTCCGTCTCTGTGCCCATGCAATGCATCTCACAGATACCCGCATTTGCCCTTCACCCCCTCACATTGCTGACATCGCAACTGAACTTACGTTTCCTCTTCCGGAATGATCGTCGTCTCATCATCCCTGCTTCACCTTCCTTTCCTCTCCTCCGTGTTCCCCTTGACTCTCCCTCACTGTCCTCCTCATCTGACATCTCCGTCAATGAGCTCCAATCTGATGACATGCCCGCCACCGCTCCCTTCTCCTCAGACAACTCAGTCACCTCCTCTCCATGCACAGTGTGAGAGGCTGACACTGACAGCGACAGAGATGGAGATGGAGATGGAGATGGAGATGGAGATGGAGGTCGAGGCTCCAAACCCTCCTCTATAATGTTCTCCTCCTCTGCCCCTCCATCTGACCCTCCCATCACCTCCGCAACACTCTCACTCTCCTGCAACCCTTCGCTGCCTGTATTCGACACCTCATCTGAATCCCCCCTCTCCATGCCCTTCCCCAATCTCTTCCTCTCCTCATCCTCTACATTCTCCTCTCTCTCCCCTTCCTCCACAATCAATTCTCTTCCACTTCTACCTCCTTCTTCTCTCCCCTGCACACTCTTCTCCTTATCCACTTTACATTGTTCCAACCATAGCTCTCCTCTTGCCCCCACCATGTACTCTTCACGGTACGACGGGTCCAGCCATGGATTCGTACAGTCCTTTCCAACTCCAACTGGCACCTCCTCATGCCCTGTATTATACAAATCACTTTAATACTCTCTATCAATTCAATACCAAATACACGTACCTCGCACTGCCCTCACAACCATCTCATATATATTCACATTCGACGTCGACATCCGGTCCTCTTCAACTTTTCTTGACAATGACACAGGCACCTTGTACGGTCGCACCCGCAGATGCGCAACATTGCCTTCCTGCACCTCCCTAAACCATCGCCGTCCCAAGTTCCCAATGGCCCCCTGTTCATCACATTATCCAAGTTAGCACTTTTCAATCACCATCAATCCAGCATGCACCCTCACCCGACACAGCTCATTCCAGTGAAACTCCACCTCATACTCAATCGACCCACCCTTCCACCTGAAGTCCCCTGCACCACTCTCCACAAACGCTTCCCTCATCTTCGCCAATCCTCCCATACACTGACTATACTCTTCCATCTTCAACTCAAGCGTCTCCGCATTTCACCTCTTATTTGTTCCCCTGTATGCCTCATCCAACAACCCCATCACGATTTTCCTCCCTTCCACCCCTTTCGAATACTCCTTCGATATCTTCGGAAGTTCTCCCTCGAACCAGAATACATATTCCTCTCTGCCGTCCTTCCAACATTGCCTCAGAACATCATGAAGCATCTCCAACATCTCCATAAATGTCTCTTCTCCACCAATCTCTCCCAATACTGCCGCCATCATCGCAAATGTCACCACCATTACTGGCGCTGCCGCCTTGTTGTTCTTCTGGTATGTCGTCCCCCCCGCGCTGACCCAGAATGGCTCATTCGTTCCTTTAGCCAATATAACCTCGGGAATCCAGTGCTGATCCTCCGCCGTCATGTTCATGAATGGCGCTCCCCCTCTTCTCATCTCCGAATCTAAATACCCCTGCACCCTCTTCACCTGCTCCCTCATCCCGGCCATCATGCGTATATTCCCCTCAGGGTCCAGAAACATGCCAAATAGGCCATCCTTCATCAGCGACTCGTCGTCCCGTGCCAGAAATGCCTTCGCCTCAGCTCGTGTGACATGAATCAGCCTCGCCAATGCCTGAGGAACGTTCCACCTCAGTAACTCCTGCACGCCCTCAAGAAATCTGCTATTTGTCAGCATGAATGCCATCACCTGTATGTCCATGCATCAGAATCACATTCAAATGCAGCTTCAGACTTCCACTCATACTCACTTTCTCCCATGTATCTGATACCCAATTCTTCGAGTTTCTAAGCACCGTTCTCAGTGAGTGCCAAGCTGTATCATATCCATGCTTCTGCTGCCCTTGAATGTAAGGCAGCATCGGTTCAATCATCAGCCCAACCTGTAACCAATCATCCCCTCATTAGCGATCAACTCCACCAAGCACAATCACATATGTCATCTCGCAACCAAATCCGTGCGCGGAGTTCGTCTCTTACTTCCCTACATCCTGTCTCATGATCCCAAGTGCTGACAAACTCCGCATGCGGATTTCGTTCATCTCCTCTCACATGTGGCTCATCGCGCAGTCGTCGACAAAGTCCGCATGCGGATTTTGCCTCATCCATACACTTCAAAATCCGCATGCGGATTTCACTTCGAACCCTTTCAATGCATCATAGCACTCACCAATTGAATCGCTTCACTCGCTTCTGAGAACTCTTCCACAGATCGCATCATGTACCCCGTCATCAGCAGCTCCGTCGCCGGATACACTTGCCCTTCATGCCACTGAAGCCGTGCAAGCCTGCTCGAACACTCCGCCTCATCAACCCCCCCTCCTTCTACCCACCTCTTCCTCATAATCCCCCGAACCTCATCCCAATACTCTTTCCGAGCCTCCATCCAGCTCTCATACCTCGCAAGCCCTTCCTCCTTCCTCAACTCGAAGATCTCCCACCACGTCTTGTCAATCTCTTCCAGAGCCAACCCATCGTATCTTGACGCATCAATCTTCGTCGTGCTCCAATCCCTCCGGATCTCTTCTCCCACCTCCCCAATATCAATCACCCGCATACGGGTCTCCAGATCCAACTCTTCTCCTTCCAACAGCCCTTTCTTTCACCTTGAGATCTCCTCCCATTCCCTCAACACATCCCGAACCCTTTCCTCTCTACCCATAAATCCCACTCGACACAGGTCCTCCAGCTCCTTCACTGCCGTTCTCACCATATGCAGTATCACCTGCAACAATGTCATGCCTGGTCAGCACTCTCTCTTTTCTTTTTCCTATCGCAATCACTTACCCCACCCCACATCGTCTTCACATCGTACTCCTCCATCCCTCCCATCCATATTCCTCCACTCCAGAAATACTCAAACTCCAACAATCGCGACATCACCTCTATCCATTCCTCATCCTTCAACACCTCCCTCCACTTCTTCTCCTTCACCCATGCCACCTTCTTTACGCCCTCATTCCATTTCGAGCTTCCTGCCTCAACTCCCAAATCTTTCAACTCCTTCGACTTCTCAATCACCTTCCTGAATGCACGCGTCATTCACTCCCCACTCATTTCCTCCACCCTCTCCCTCCGATCTTTCCGTCCCAAATACTCTCCAAGCCCCACCCGCCCTTCAACCTTCCCTGCAGAATCAAATCCCATTTTCGTTAGCTCTCTCTCCCTCCACAGAACTCCCCGAATACTCACTTTCGTCAAACACCTCCACCACCCATGTCCCGTACTTCCCAACCGTCATCTCAATCTCCCTCACTCTCTTCTCTGCCCTATCGTACTCCTCGTCATACTCTCGCTTTCCCTCTCCATACTCACCCATCACCTCTTCCAGCCGTTCCGCTTCACCACACAGTTCATCGTCCCACTTCGCCCAAGCCATTCCGTATTCTTTTCCATTCACTACCCACATCTTTCCCCCAATCCTCCCCTCCCCACCCTTCCCTTCCACATACTTCAGCTTTCCAACATCCACAACTTCATTCCTCAGACATCCCTCCTTCAACTCCTCCGCATACACCCCAATCGCAATTCGGTTCTTCACGTACTCCGCCCCCATTCCTTCTCGCAAGCTTCTCGCCAACTCCTCAACCCGCTCCGAATCAACTCGCCCCTCACCAATCTCCTCAACCTCAAAATATACCCTCTTCTTCTGGACCTCTGATGAAACTCCCCGCCGAGACACCATCTGATCCCCCGATCCCACAACAACTGCCAATCCGTATCCCAGGAATCCCTCCACTGCCGCACTGTGCATCACTACCGCTTTCATCATCTCCTCACTCACTCTCCCGTACTCAACCCCCTGCAGTATTATCACAATCAGTCTCCTCTCACCCACTGCTTTCTTTACGCACCTCTCCTGTACTCTTCACTCCTCTCTGCCGTCTCTTCCTTATCTTCTCCACCATCTTTCGAGCATCAACTACTTCTGGCGTCCCTGCTATCTGTCCGCCGTCTATCTCTGCCTGCATCCATTCTCATCAATCAGCCCCAGCTCTCCAATCAATCACACAAATCCTCATCTACTTACCTCTCCTGACTCCATCATCTCTCTGCTCACACTCTCCACTATCTCTTCTCTAATCTCTTCCATCTGTCCTCACCGTTCCTATCAGTACTCATTCTATCCACTGAAATCTCTATCCGACATACCTCTTTTCGGCCTCTCCTCGCTTTCATCTTCCCTTTACTACTCCGCCTCCTGCTCTTCGCTTTGCCTGTGTTTCGTTTGCCTGACATCTCCTATCGGTCAAGATCAGTGAAGGTCAGTTCAACAGTTCCTCACCACGTCCAACTTCACCATCTCCATCCTTCGCCCACATCGCCATCAATGTAACCCTAACCACATTCGGCCTCTACGGGTATAATGCAATACCAAAGAATATATATATATATCTCTATCCATTCTGTTCTATACATAATACAGTATATATGAGCAAATATAACACTCTTTAACCATCTCTCGGTGACCCTATCTATGTACACGCTATCTACTGCTGGTGAGACACAGATATTCACAATTATGTCAAGACTGCCACCAATCAACTACCACATCTGACAACCTCCAATGTTCGTTCCATCATCACTTATCAATTGAATAAAATCTGTGTGCAGATTTGGCCTTGAGAGATGAATTCCGCATGCGGATTTGGTATGGAGAGATAAATTCCGCGCACGGATTGCGTCTATAATAATATTACTTGTATCCGCATCAACATAATCTGCACACGGATTGTGTCAACACCTCGTACATGCATCATTTCAATTTTCACCAATTGACATTCTCAATTTAATGCATGGCTTCCATCAATTCAATCACTCCATCGACATTGCTCTTACCAGAGTCCATACTCATATCTTATCTGTACTTTGACCCATACACTCAACAAAATCTGCATGCGTACTTCACATCAACCTCTTCTCCCATCCTGCATACTTGTCCAATTTTGTATCTCTGCTTCATCTTACCATATATCTCATCATCATCTCCCCACTTCAACAAAATCTGCATGCGTACTTCGTAACTACTCAACTCCTTTATCCTCTATATCAACCAGGTTAGGCTTTCCCTCCACAGACGCTCGTCCACTTCGCCCTAATCCCTGACGGCTTCCTAACCCTGATTCTAATACATTTTTCTGTATAAATCATTCACGGAGTAGATGAAACTGTAAAGCCAAGGTCATTTGCACTTGAATCTACATTCAGCAAGAGGTCAGCCACTGTTTTGGACCAAGATTCAGATGAGCCTGCAGTTGAATAGGAGCAAGTACCGGTGATATCCATAAATACAACAGTGTTCCAGTACAGGTATGTGAAAACAGTGATAGTCCAATTAAAGCACACTCGGGCCGAGTGCGGTGAGAGTCTCGAGAAGACATAATAGCGGTATCTGGTAAGTGGGAGGAAGAGCGGGTCATCATCAACGAAGCTTGGCCCAGAGGATAATGCCTATCAGAAGAACGAGAACGACGACGATGGCAGCTGTGACGACGCGCTGTTGGTACATTCTGCGATGTATCATATCCACCTGTTAGATTGGGGATGAAAGGAGTCAGGCAATTCGAACGTGGCACTGACCTGCGAATCATCCTCTTGAGCGTGCCTGAGGCACGGCCGATGGACGTATCCGCTCGAGAGAGCTGTTTGATTGGTTAAATTCAGAAACGAGAGCCGCAGAAAAGAGCGTTGATTCATACCGTGTCTCTGGCGTTCTGAATCTGTTCCCGCTGGCCCCGAAGACTTCGAAGGATATCCGCACCTTGTTCCTCCGTCTCTAGTGCAACCCTCTGGCTGTCCATCAACCTCCTGGAGCCATCTTCAAGCAAAGCGGTACCGGCGAGAAGTCTTGTCCGATCACTTGAGGGACCATAAGGGTCGTCTGAAGAGGGCAAGCCACCCATTCCTGGACGCGAGAGCAAGTCGGAGCGGGCAGCCTGAGCATGCAAGTCTTTCGATTGTTTCTTGTACCGCTGTAGGTCGGCCTTGGCAGACCTGATGCGAGATTGGTAAGAGGGTCTCAACGACTGAGGGATACCCTGAATCTCAATCTCCATTTGCGAGACCTATTATGGCGGATATCTAGATGATGAAGATACTATTAGAGCAACTGTTCACGCACCATCTCGTCTGCCTCGTCTAGTTCCATTTCCACCCTCCTCAACGCTGCCTTTCGCTGCTCTGCCAATGAGATAGTGAGTACAACGTCCTTGAATTCAATGGGTCGCGACACTCACCAGCCACATCACCCTTCGCATCACCCTCCAACTTGTCCCTTATACTGGAAACGATTTGTTGAAAGTCCTGCTCATAAGAGTCAAATAGGGAGGTTGGAGAGGTATCCATAATAGCTGCGTGTCGCCGGCGACAACAGTGAACTCTTGTCAAGTGAACGTTGAGTGAACGTTGAGTGAACGCACTAACCGCCCAGCCGCAGCGATACGTTTTGTTTACTCCTGTTTGCCCCTGCGACATTTAGTGAGTCTTCCGGATTTGGCTGTCCCTGTAGCCATGTCTTCGTCCGTTCTCCAACTCCAGGACCGTCTTCAGGCTGCCTCGACGGATTATCAGAAGTTGCAGAATGACCTTTCTGTGATTGTCGAGGCCAGGCAACGACTTGATGCCCAGCTTCAGGAGAACGAGCTCGTCAAGAAGGTGCGTGCGCTTGCTCATTGTGTGGTAGCGAAACATTCATCATGACTTATGCAGGAGTTCCAATACTTGACACCAAATAATACAGTATATAAGCTCATAGGCCCCGTGCTCGTTCAACAAGATCAGGCGGAAGCCAAGAGTAATGTTGACAAGCGGCTAGAATTCATTCAAGGCGAGATGTATGTATCCTTATGTTTACGGTCGATCATCCTTTGTCGACTCATGTGCCTCAAGCAAACGCGTGGAAGGCCAGATCGAGGAGATTGGAGAAAGGTCGGAGAAGAAGAAACTCGAGGTACCTCTATCCTATTCCTCGCAGTCTATGCCATATTGAATGCCTATTGCAGATTGTCGAAATACAGACTGCACTGCAACAAATGCGTCAAGTTAATCCAGCTGCATCATCACCAGCAGCCATTCCTGCATGAGGAAATGTCAATATGTACGATACTCACTGGTCGAATGTATCCATAGCCCAAAGCATATTCATTAGTAGTACTATTACAATAAGGGTCTCGAAAGTTGGGTCCGACTCTATGAAGCGTGTGCCGTAGGTTGGGTGGTCGAACTAGACTGTTCCGAATGACTGAGTGTTGAGTCGAGGGGTGATGAAAAAACATCTTCCCCATCTCCGAGGATACGCTTCGCTTCTGCCGCCATACGTGCGTGCATCTCGTCTCGCTCTGTCTCGGGACTTTTCAGAATCTTCTCCAAGGTGAAGCGTTTTCGAGCGGAAATTGGCGGGCAATTCCGAACGAGGACGGTATCGTCTATGCGAAGTTCTAGAGGACGCGAGTGAGTTGCCACGGAGGAAAGTACCTTGAACAAACATACTGTTCCGTTCGTCGTGAATAAGAAGCTTTGTTCGCTTCTCCATTCGCTGTAACAGACGAGTTGAGTTGGGTATGATGCAGATAGTTACACGAACAACATACCTTCTTCGTCCGTGGGTGTACCGTCCAACGAGTGACGATGACTGTGGCGGTCTTGTTCATGAATCCCACCCTGGATACAGTCCCAGTAAAGGCCATTGGAGGCATTTTTTGGACGAACGAGGTGGTGGATGGTGGAAAGCAGTCAATGAAATAGACGCCCAATCCGGTTTAACCGAGAAGCGCCAGAGGGAATGGAGGAAGAATCGAGGACCTGGTCTTCGACTGCAACCGCCATTCTCCTTCCGTCGTTTCCTTGCATCTGGCAGCTTGCCCATCCAATTCCGCTCGTTCTCTATCCTACTTATCCTAATTTTTGCTGTCGAATCTGTTCTCTCACGAAACCGCTTTCGATTGACACCGAATTTGTCCGATCCAGGTCACCCTTATTTCGCTTATAGTTCAAGTTCAACTTCGATTCTTGCTTTCTTCCCACTCTTCTCGTTGATGTCCATACGCAAGCCCTGACCATGGACGCCAATGAACTCGGACGATGGACCCGCTTTGCTGCAAAGGGCGGCATTGGAAAGTGCACAGCTCTCCAGGACTGTATTGCAGAGCAAGCGGATGATCTTATGTTCTTGAAAGTACGTTGAAAACAAGAGACCTTCTTTTAGTATCCTCCCTGACTCTGTCGCCTGCAGGATGACGAGATTACCGTGCTGATGCAGCTACCTGGTCAAGATGACCTGTATTTGGTCCGTCGGCCGTTTGAATTTGTTCATCATACTACTACTGACTGCATGTAGGGTTATTGTGAAGGCGTAGTTGGCCGATTCGCAGGGTCTTCCGTTCGTTTTCATGGACGACTGAAGAAACCCGTTATGGCCAAACGCTCCTCAACAGCCCCGTCTTCTTCTCGTCCTTCGTCTTCATTGAGTGCAGCTACAATTGCAGGACGTATTTCTCCCGGGATCGCATTACGCAGTTCACCTTCTCTCCAGACACGAATGTCGCGCAGTCACTCAATGTCCACGTCGGTGTCTGCTCTTGTCGACTCAGTCAACTTAAGCGCTCCTTTCCAGTCCTCGCCTTCACCCGTTCCCCGATATCCTTTGACTGCACGTGCCATTCCTCCCGATGACAGCTTTGATCTCCACTCTGTTAGCCTTTCATCTGTTTCCACTGGCTTAGAGTCTGCCCCTAGGACACCCGCGGAAATTCTCAGGGACGAACATACAGACAATGTGAAAGTTGCGGGCGAATATCAAGAGGTTCACTCACCCACAGATTTGAATCCGGACGTGACCTTGCGCGATCACGATGAGACGCTAGCAACTCCAGACAGTCCGGATGATTCACTGAAGCGAACACCATCATTCGAAGCTGACAATGATCATAGTATTTCTGACTCGACAATGACAGCCCCACTGGATAGCGAGCATCCATCTTACCTCTTCTCAGAACCAAGTACTCGTATATCGGCTGCCTTGTCAGACGGTGAGGTCGGTATTGGCCTGTCCCTGTTGCAAGATTTCGTGAACGGAGGGGGTGATTCGGACTCGGATTCAGAGTCGCGAGCGAGTAGTAGAAGTGGCACACGATCTCTCGTTGACGGTCAGAATGCGGTTGAGAACATGCCGGAGGCGAAGGATGGCAAACAAGAGACTTCGTTTATCCCATTCTCTGAACCGGTAGCGCCATCTCCCACAACATCGGTCGCCGCTCAGTTTGAACCACTTTCACCTCCACCTCCCTCTCCTTCCATTCGCTCAGTAATATCCAGAGGGTCAATGCATCCTTCTGCGACCGATTCTGAGTATGACAGAGAGGAATGGGAGGGCGCGTCAGACATCTATGACAACTACAGATACTCTCGGTTTTCCATGGCCTCCAAGATGTCACGTCTGTCCAAAGCCTCGATGCATACTGTCGCATCAGGATTTGGTCTCGGAGTGCCACCTGTCCCGCTTGATTCTCGTAGACCAAGTATTGACAGTGTTCGACCGAGATTCAACTCGACAGAGGAAGTCCCCCGTATTTCCACCGACTCTGTACGCAAGTCACCCATCCCAGTATCTTCCCCTTCGTCCCCGCTTGCGGACAACGTAGTGAACTCTCCAACCGGTGCAAGGCTTGCTGAGGGCAAACACGTTCCGTCTCCCCTAACATTCGCATCGGAAAACACTTTGTCCCATGGTCAGGAGCGTTTAGAAGGCGGCAGCAATGATTCACCGCTACTCCATGCTACGTTTACTTCACCAGGGTTATCGTCTAATGATGGGTCAGTACTTTCTCCGCATTTGCCTTCATCACCATCGTATTCAATGTCAGCTGCCGGGGCTGCTACGGCTCTCCGACAACGTCTCGAGATGGAACGCGATTCACGCCCGACAAGTCCAGCTGTCCCGGTTACCACCCTAACGCCTGACGTCCCTTCAAGTCGTTTGTCTACTCAACCTATTGTGATGGAAGATGATACAGAGGATCGTGTTGTTTTGGGTTCATTTTCGCCAAAGTCCGAGGCTTATTCACCTCAGCCTAGTTCTAGCATTGGTTCACCATCCTCAGTTTTGACCTCCCCAACTTCTCCCACGTCTTCCTATGTACCCGAGAAAAAGGCTATGCGTTCTCCACTTGTCGTTATGAATCCGGCACCACCTCCCCCATATACACCTCTTTCACCCACCGCCGCCTCTTCATCTACAGTGCCCGTTACCGAGCCACTGTATCGTTCTCCACCTCAAACACGTTCTCCTCCGTTGCAACCAAACTCTCAGTCTATGCCTTCGGGATCAAAGGGATCAAGACAAAGTCTGTTTCTTCCTCACCCACATGCCCCAAAGCCTACTGCATTGTCGGCTGGACCTCTGTATGGACGTACGCCCCCAGCACCGATGTCGAATCCCTCTCCCAGCGGCCCACCGCCCGGATCTATCCTCCATACGCTGCATGTCGCCCTCACGTCTCGATTTGATGTCAGTGGCCGTCCTCGACGAACAACGATCTACGGAAAGCTGGAACAAGATCTGTCTGTCTCAGTCGGACCCGTCCCCATCTCGTTTTCCCTGGAACCTCCGAATAACATTCCGGCGAATCGCGTCAACGCCAATGCAGTTAGACCATTCTCGACATCACCTCTTGCAGATTCGTCTCAGCCACCACAACCGCCACATCGTATGGCTTCTCCGCCAATGGGGCCTGCTCCTAGTTCGGAACCGTCAAGTACGTCCACATCAGGTGCACCTGCGACCAAAGTCATCCCTCGTGCCAATTTCTTCCCGAAGGCACAAACACCTCGGCCACGGTCAAGATCGTTCTCTGGGTTCGATTCACCATTCCCTGAGATCGAATTGCTGAAGGATAAGAGTCAGACGTGAGTACATTAATACAACATTTGCCATATGTGCTGATGAAAGCTGTCGCATTAGCTCGGACGATGCCACGCCTCAACCGCGAGGTTCTATCCAGACTCCACCACTACAATCTGCCAAACGTTCAAAGTCTGCCTCCGCAACACTCTCGAATGTGAATCCGACGCCACAGCGGGCTACTGTATCTCACGCAACAGCGCGATCAGTGTCGCACAAGCCATCACCGCTTTCGCTATCCCAGAATATCATCGTGGCTTCACCGATCTCTCCTTCACCAAAGTCGCCTACAAAGGTGCCTACGAGCCCTTTAGCTGGTCCGCCTATCCTACCTTCAGGTAGCCCTGATTCTGACAATACTACTGCTGAGACGCAGACTGAAAGTGTCGCTCAGGCGAATGATTCGGAGCCTGCATCTCCGGCATCCGTGAAGCAGCCTTCGAGTCCACTCCGGGCTTCTGCTGCTGCCAAATCTCAAATTCCGCCTGCGGATAAGTCTTCTGGGTCTGGACATTCTACTCGACCTCTACGGCACAGCAGATCGTCCATCTCGCACAAAGGGTCAACAGTTCGAGATTCTTCTCCTCAGTCTCGTGCGTCGACTCAAGGGCGACGTTCTTTTGACACGGACGCATCTCACTACAGTGATGCTCGGTCAGTCGTCTCTCCTACTTTCGGGAGCCCGCCTCTTGCATCTGTACCCTTGGGACGCAGCGGTTCGCTGAGGTCCAAACTATCATTGCCAACGCTGCGAATCAGAAACCTAGATCGTAGTCAGCAAGACCAGCGAAGTCCTACTTCAAGCTTATCGCCCAGTGAACAAGATCAACGAACCGTTCAAGTGAAAGATACCGACTTTGAGCTAGTCAAGCCCACCCTTCCCACCTTGTCTCTTGCGTCTGTTAACGAGGACTCCTTGCCACTGCCGCAGCCTAGCCCTATACGTGCAGAGTCGTCCAGTATGCTTCGTGCAGATAGCCCTGCATTGTCTACACTGTCGGCTTCGACGTCTCGTTCACGGCCCGGACCTAATCTACAGGCATCACCGGTTTTGGCAGCCAACAAGAAGTTAGATCTCGGAGATGTAGAAGCACATCGACAACGTGAACTCAAATGGATATCGTCGATCTCGTCAATACCCGCTTCTCAAGCGAGAAAAAGCAAAAAGGTTCGAAAGCTTTTGCAAGAGGGCGTGCCTTCCTCAGTTAGATATCTTGTCTGGGCGCATCTCACCGACAGCCGCTCAAAGCGTATGGACGGTCTCTATGAACGATTAGGCAAACGCGAACGTGTTGCTGCCTCGGCAAGTATCGAGCAAGACGTTCAACGATACGCCGCCGAACATTCGGGTGTTCAAGAGGGCTCTTTGAACAATTTACTTCAAGCGTATCTGACAATGGTTCCCGATATCCAGTACGGTAGAGGTGAGTGACGTCTTCATCAACGTGTATCCTTTCTGATCTCATTCTCAGGTCTCGTTTATATTGCTGGCTGTTTGCTGCAAATGTCGCCGGAGGAGGATGCATTCTGGACTTTCATATCCTTAATGGATACTCACCTCCGCCCTTACTTCTCGTCCAATGCTATCCAACTGGAAATTGATGCGTCGCTATTTGGCAAAGCTGTCGATGCTCATGATTCTATCGCTTCCAAGAGGGTATTCGTCGATATGGCAATCCACCCTATTCAACTATGTCGGACATGGTATATTCGCCTTCATATTTTACACCTCTAAATTGCTCAATTATATCATAGGTTCTCTGCTTTGTTCGTGGAAGTCCTACCTCCTGAGTATCAGTACCGTATCTGGGATATATTTTTGTTTGAAGGTAAGCATACAACTGAGCTGCCTGCCTCGTTTCATTTAACGACTCTATCAGGTGTGGCGTTTTTATTCCGAGTTGGTCTCGCCATCATCTCGTGTTGCAAACGAATGATCATGGATACATCTGGACGAGACAATCTGCTCGCTGGTCTCCTGCGTCCTCCCATCGCGCTGCTGCCAGCTAGTCCCGATGCATTTCTGGAGCTCGCTTTCTCCGTCAAGCTGAAAGACGACGACATTCGTAAGCAGCGTAACAAGAAGGACGTGCAGACGAAGCGGCAGACGCAGTTCCGCTCATTATCAGCGCAGACAGGTGCCTCCATGCCAAACATCTCTTTGCCGAAAACATAGAGTGGACCTCTCCGGTCCTGTCACTCGTTTACTTCACGGTATATATGGATACATTCTCGTACATAATTGTGCATTGTCTTATTTTTTTCGGCTGTAATGATAGAGACCTTGGTTGATTTGAAACAACTTATTTCTGACGACATAAGATCTGATCCCAAGGACAAGGTGCCAAGTCAATAGGAGAAGATCAGCTCTGCGTTGAACCTTGCGTCTCCCGTACAACACACCTGGATGCCCGATGGAACACAAAGTTGATCGTCGAGAACATCTCAAAAATTTTGATTGATAAAGATGAATACCTCATCATTCGTGGTTCATCCAATGGGAACGTCACTTAACGTGGCGTTACAGTGATCATGTACTGTCAAGTCATCAAACTTGTGCTGAAGTACAGCAAACGTTAGCGACAAATCGGTGATTGCAAGGATTCAATTTGGAGAAGCTCTCGCCAAATCTCTTTACTTCGATGAAGGATCAGGTTTATCAAAACTATCCTGGCAATAGACACTAATAGTTCGTTCTCTTCCTCCCGTGTGGCAATTGAAACATGATAACATCGTCAAGCCTAGCCCAGGAACAAATTCAGTCGCGTTTCAGGGGCTTTGCAGACATGTGCTTCGCCCCCGTTGGCTTCCGTTCATGGAATATTACCCGCATACTTGTAGCGCTTCGCGAGTATACGAAAGTGTCTTACGCAGTACCTATTGTTACAGGATTAAATTCGGCTCGATCGCCGAGTGGTGAACCTAGTTGACCGAAGGGTAGCAGGATGCCAAACGTACTCCTTTTTGCCCAGTGGACAGCCGGCCTCCTATATATGCTGGTGTGCTTACTTGGCGTTGAATGTAAAAGTGTTTCTGACTTCAGTAGTTCCGAATTACCAAGGCGGAAGCAAACTAACGGTGGGGTATAAAGCAATGAAGATGTAAGCCATGTTGTCTCCTACAAACCAACATCCAACATCTTGTTCAGATTTGCTATACCAATGACATCGTTCACTAGCACCCCTCTCGAAGACATCCCTGAGGTATGTCTTCCAAGCACGTGTACATGACTCTACTTATGCATTGACGAACCTTCATAGATCCGGGATGCCCTTCTGAAAGGCTTTGGCTCGGGAAAGACGAAGTCTATCAAGTATCGCAAGGAGCAACTGCTACAGCTCGCATATCTCTTGAAAGACAATCACCAACGCTTCCTTGATGCATTGGCCAAAGATTTAGGGCGTCCTGCACTTGAAACAGACTTGTGAGTACCTAGCTTTCTTTATCGGAGATCGTTGACCTGATATGTTCTCCCTTCCATAGTACGGAAATGACCGCAACCTTGGGCGACATCTACGACTCGTACAACAACGTTGGGAAATGGGCCAAGGATGAGAAGGCGCCTTTCTCTGTCCTTTGGTACTTCATGAACCCCACTGTTAGGAAGGAACCGAAGGGTGTAGTCTTGATCATAGGACCTTTCAACTTCCCTATTCTGTGTCTGCTTATGCCCTTGGTTAGTTCCACCCGTATATATTCACGAAAAGTTGCTTAACTTCATTTGTTCTAGGCTTGTGCACTCGCAGCTGGAAATACAGTCTTGCTTAAGCCATCGGAACTCTCAACTGCCGTTTCAGACTTGGTCGCTGAACTAGTACCCAAATACTTTGAACCTGGCCTCGTACGAGTTGTTCAGGGTGGAATTCCTCAGACCTCCAAGGTAGGTAGTAATGATCCTGCCTTACTACACTATTCATCTGAATGTTGCTGTATAGCTTATCGAGTATCCTTGGGGCCATAGTATGCACTTACCTATTTGATGACAAGCCGCCGCTGATTAATTTTAATTTCAGTTTGCTATACAGGTCTGCGACACGAATCTGAAATGGCTGCGAGGCATGTAATGACTTTTGTTTCCCCTAGGCTCGCCACGGGTAGCCAGAATCATCGCACACGCCGCGGCCAATACCCTCACGCCTGTTACTTTCGAGGTAAGAAATCTTTTGACCTCAAATTTTTGAATATTATCATTTATCAACCTGCACTTCAGCTTGGCGGTAAGCTTGAGCTTCACCTATATATCGATCCGACCTGAAATGCTCATTCTCGATGTCTTCTGATAGGCAAGAACCCTACCATCGTCGATGCCAAGGGCGACTTAAAACTTGCTGCCAGAAGGATCCTATGGGGTAGGAATGTAAATGCGGGTCAGGTTCGTCGGCTGTGAAACACCTTTGCATCCGAACTCTAACTGCTAGTGACTACAGGCATGTACCGCTCCCGAATACGTTCTAGTTATGCGCTCAGTCGAGGAAGAATTCATCAAAGAGCTTCAGAACACGTCCGTAAATTAGCATATTTCATTCGATTGCTGGGCTCATGCTTTTGCAGATATGCTACATACTATGAAAACGATCCCTCTGGCTCCAAATCGTTCTCTCGTATCATCACCCAAGAGCATGCTTCTCGTATCGCGCACTTGCTTTCTGAGACCAAAGGGAAAATTGTTGCTGGAGGGGAGGTCGACACTGAAAATAAATACATTGCACCTACCATCGTGCGCGATGTTCCGCCCGATGACTCCTTAATGAGCGAGTATGTTCTTAGTCTTCTTTCCATTTCGCATCATAGTGATGAGAATCCTCCGTAGGGAAATATTCGGGCCTGTGCTTTCAATAATTCCAGTGGACAATATTGACGAGGCAATCGCATTCGCTCATGCACGGTAGGTCTCATTCAGTCCTGGAATACCGGGCCCCATGCTAGCGTAACGTTGGTTGCAGGGATAAACCATTGGCCGTCTACATTTTCACGTCAGACAAAAAAGTTAAAGAGAAAGGTCTTGAGCACTGCAATGTCCCTGGGTTTCTTACTAATATTTGTTACAGTCATAGAGAATACAAGTTCGGGTGCTGTCTTCGTCAATGATGTGCTCATCCATCCGGGGGGTAAGCTATGTTGCATGCCGTTCAATCATGGCTTCGGCTTATGCCCCGCTGAACTCAGCGACTGGACTTCCATTTGGCGGGATTGGTCTCAGTGGATGTATGAATGCATCTCCCTTACTGTCGACATACCATTGATATCATTTCTAGATGGTTGCATGACCGGAAAGTGGGGATTTAACACTTTCACTCACTTCAGGGCTCTGCTGGACAGCCCGGGATAGTATGTACATATGCTTTTTGGTAAATTGTCCTCGCTAACGCTATATTGCCTGTCGATCAGTCTTGATACATTGGCTCTATGGCCTCGTTTCCCTCCATACACTGTTCGTCTCGTCCATTATCACGGCAAGTCGATACTGATTGAGTCGTATAGGACGAGAAGTACCATAAGATCAGGTCGTTGTCCGCATTCAAGCTCCCTCCTCGACCTGGTAATGCCGAAGCACCCAGACGCAAGTGGGGTTTGTACGCTCTATTCGCTATGTTCGGCGCAGTCGTGGCTGTCTTGGGCCGGAAAGTCGGTTCTGTTTTCGGCTCGACTCAGGAGTAGATGTATCACTTATTGGGATACTATCTGGCATAGGAATGTTGAGATAGTTGATACAGCCACTAGTTTCACACTGTAGCACTTTCGTGAACTCGATTATTTCGAGGCATTTCCCACTTGAATAATTGCCTGATCGAGCGGTGGCCCTTCTCACCGATCCCCAAATTATGACCTGTCAAGTCGTTCACGATTACTTGTGCTCGTCTTTGAGGCTGACCTGGTGCATCGACTCTTACCGCTCTTCCTAAATGATATGTCTTATGTAGATGAGTACCCTGGACGATGCAGAAGGCATTGCCAGCCCTAAGGTCGAAGGAGCTCAGTCGCCGCGAAGCAGTACTTACCGTAACACTGACATATCTTTAAATTTACAGCCCCCGTGCCTTTTGCGAACTTTGGAAGAAGTGTGTTGCAGGATAAATTCGTTATATGAATGTTTGTGCAACGCCTCCTTGTGGCAGTGCGCAAACAAAGACGTTCTTATACCCGCTTGGAGTGAATTCCGGTGCTGGCCACTCGGATAAATGCACGCGTCTTGGGCGCGTAACAACGCGATCTGTCCTTTCTCCGCCCCAACCAATCCGTCATGGCAGCCAACTCCTCAATGCCCTTTTCAGCTCCGGTGGAAGCATATCCTCCAGAGCCTCGGATGGACGAACTGGCTGGCCATGCAGTAGGATATATGTCGGCTCCTGTGTTTTTGAAATCCGTCATGACTTTGCACGAGCCTGTCCCTCCCGTCCCAACGTCGACGTACTTCAAGCATGTTTTGGAGTACCCAATGATGTCAGAAGAGGTGTTATCCAATCCTATAGTGGGTGTTCCCGTCTGCCAGAAGACACGTATCTGAGCAATTAATGTTATCGCTCAGATTCAGGCTATACACAGGTTGCGCCTCATTCCTGGATTTTTCTTTGAGTTCAACTCGCAGTCACACTTCGAGACCTCCCCGACGCATTTCTCCCCTCTTTGTTTGTTTCGACGTACGGGAGACTCCTCACAAACTGATTGGGAGAATCAAGAGCTCATTATCGACATACACACCGGCAATGAACAGGACCCTTTTCCATATGCGTGCGGCGGAGTCGGTTCACCTAAGCATGCTGAAGGTCTCCAGTCACGAATTCGACTCGTCTCCGCTGTAAAGGACCAGTTTTGCCGTCAACACCGCACTTTCCTCTATACACTGTCTATCTGTGGCTCTCGAATTCGGTTCCTCCGCTGGGACCGTTCTGGGGTGTTGCTTTCAGAATCGTTTGATGTCTGCTCCTTTGAATGTCTCTTGATTGAATTCTTCTGGAGATTTGCTCACATGTCCGATACCGAGCGCGGTTTCGATCCTACCGCTGTGCTCGCAAGTGAAGCTGAAGATCATATCCTACGAAACGCCATTCGCGACTACTGCCTCTCTGCCGTTGAAGGAAAGGTTCGCGCGCTCCCCAACATGGAGAAGACGATCTCGCCAGACTATCCTACTTACAAAGTCCGGGTTGGTGTCAAAGTCTCCCCTCGGTACTTTCTCATTCAACGGCCTTTCTTCTATGCCACATCTGGAAACGTCTGCAGTAGAGCCACTCGTGGATATGTTGCATACGATATAGCAAGAGAAAAGTTAGTCTTCTTGAAGGATGGATGGCCTTCGAGATTCCTCAATTCCGATTCAGAGGCGAAAATCTATCGGGAGCTTCGGCAGGCGGGCGTACCTTTCCTCCCTGACCTCCTGTGGGCGGGGAACGTGTATACTGACGGAAAACTTCAACTAACGCCCAATCATGCGTGGTCAGTTTGCGATGTGGAGTGGAAGCGATCCGGTAATGTTTTAAACGAGCGGTACCACCATCGTGTGGTACAGGAATTTGCATTTCCACTGGATACTGCGAGATGTTCCCGTGAAGCTGCTCAAGCTGTTCGCGACGCTATTGAAGGTATGTCATGTATACTTTCAGGTTATTTCTGTTCCTGACCCTAGGCTTCTGTTAGCACTCGCTGAGGCTAAGAAATGGTGTAATCGACTACATTGTGATATCAGCTCTGGAAACATCATGTTGTCAAATGCAACCGATCCCACTACTTGCGCAAGAGGAAATCTCAACGATTGGGACCAGAGTCGAAAACCGCACTCCAAGGTCACAAAATACAAGCCCCGGACTGTAGGCAGATCTTATATTCAGATTATTTCATCTCATGACGTTGCTTGTCCAGGGTACTTTCCCTTTCTTGTCAATTGCTCTAAGTGCAGACCCTTTCAAAGAAAATGAGGTACACGACGATTACGAAGCATGCCTTTGGGTCCTCCTCTGCACCGCTCTCCAGAATTTCAGACACAATAACCCAAATTACGACCTTCGTCTGTTCAATGAGAAGGATCCTTCATATGTCGATGAAAAGGGGAAAGAACACCTTACTGGTGGAAGTCTCAAGTATTTATACCTCGACGAAGGCGACGATGTTACCTTTGCTTGTCAACCACTGAATACTCTCTTGAACGACCTCCGCTCTTATTGGCTGGATTATTACCACTGTCGTGCGGGTTACACGATTCCTCTTGGACCAACCGAATTCGAAGAATGGCATCAGGCCCTGGGCGAATATCCCACCGAATTGCTCGCGATATTCGATACGGCGCTAGCTCGCACAGATTGGCTCGAAAACGACTCAGTATCGACTAACCTCAAACATCTTCGATCTCAATATGCGAAAGTGAATATCAGGGAAACGAGCGAATCTCTAGATACGAACCAACCTTCACAATCGGACGCGGGTAGCCTGAAGCTAAGAAGGTTCAATACATTCAACGTTCGCTCACGTCCACTTTCAAGACTATCTTTGAGGCGCGGGAAGAAGCGTAACGCATCTGAGAGCTCGACGAACGCCGACACAGATGGAAGAGAACGGAAAAAGGTTAGGATGGGGTCGGTATTTGCCATCAACAAGGGGAAGATGACGCATGATGAAAGTTGCGACCCAGACGATCGCGTTGCGAAGCCTTGCCCCTCTCTAAAACGTCGCCTACAACGCTTTGTGTCGAAGGCCAAATCAAAGGTCTCTGGTATATTTATCGGCACTCACAGGTTGTCAGCTGTCTTGTAGACATGAGGCTGCTCCTGAATCCATCTTTTACTTATACATCAACTCTTGTAGCGATTGTGGTCTATTTGATCTTGCTGTTGTCTAAGAGCTCGTGGAGCCTACACGATTTGTATTTGTTCAGATCATCTCTTTGCCTGCACGCGGGTGCACATGAGGGTGTTAGCTAAACGAAGATGCAAGGACGTGAGCAACCGTACTTGTGCTCTACTTGATAATTCCATAAATCTGAACCTACTCAGCAACTATTGAGAGAGGCTCTTCGCGAATTCAATCAGTGCCCTAAGATTACTAGTCAATACCTAATGACACCCAAAGAGAAAAACCAAGTGCACCTAGTCGATCGTCCCGTCATACCCTTCTCCTGGTATGGCCCCGGTCGTGTCGCCTGTCAGCAACAACAACATTAACGGAACGCTACCGAGTGGATAGATGAGGGAGGAACACGCACCTCCATAGTCCCAGCAATGTCTACGTGGGCCCAGCGAACCTTCGGTTCTTCACCTTCCTCGGCGGGCTCTACCCCTTCAACGAAAGACTTGAGAAAAAGCGCTGCTGTACAACTACCTCCGGGTCTTCCACCGGTCTATAAAAATAACGAGTCAAGATATGAGTACTCATTTTTGAGATAGTAGAGAATGATGATAGCGATGAGGGAATGACAATAATAATAGACGTACGTTGCACAAATCGGCATTAGAACTGTAGATCTGGGGCCCGAAGTCCTCTGAGAGCGGCATGCGCCAGAAGCGGTCGCATTCACGTTCACCGGCGGCGTATAGTTCTTCCCAGAGAGTGTCGCTGTTCTGTTACAAGTATTATTGACGGGTACAGAGGGCTTGGGGTGGAACGTACGGTGAAGACTCCAGTGTAGACTTCTCCAAGGGCGACGTCCATTGCGCTAGATGTATAGAGGTCAATAAGCGGGGGCATAATGAATATGGGTGTCAAAGAGTTTACCCAGTGAGGGTCGCGACGTCAACCAAAGTCTTGGGCTTGAACTCCGTTGAAGCATAGTACAAGGCATCTGATCATACACGCGCAGAGCTCAGCAACAAATTACGGTATACAGCCCGGGGATCGGACTACAAGCTTACCAGAGAGGACCAAACGACCTTCTGCGTCCGTGTTGTCGATCTCAACAGATTTACCGTTCATGGCATAGACACTATGGTGCATCGATACTAATCAGTTCCTGTACACGTCAGTAAATATAAAGGCGGGACGTACATGTCGCCAGGCTTGTTTGCACTGGGCCCTGGCAAGTTCTCAGCAAGTGGCGTAAGGACGACCAAGTTAATACTGAGATATCCGTCTCGTCAGCTTCTCATTTGTCAAGTAACAGCAAAAACGAGGAAATAAATTCTGAACATACGGCAACTTTAGTTTCGCGATAGCAAGTGCAGCACTAGCCACAGCAGCCGCGCCACCCATATCGCCTCTCATCAGCTTCATGCCCGCGCCAGGCTTGATGCTGATTCCTCCAGAGTCGAAGGTGATACCCTTTCCGACGAAGACGAGCGGTGGCACGTCATTAGGGGCGCCGTTATAATGACTAAGGAAGGTGAAAGGGTGGTGAGTGGAGAACAGGAGGAATCGAAGAAGGGAAGGCAGACATTTCGAGGAATTTTGCCGGTTCGGATGTTCCTTTTGTTACAGAAAGAAATGTACGCTATAAGAAGGGCCATAGGTTAATCAATCGGGTTCAAAAGCCATGTATCTGAACGCCACGGTACTTACCATTCCCTTCTCGGCGGCCCAGGCTGAGTGTAAAATTGCGTCAGTGACCTTGTTTGCGAAGCTAGTACCGAGGAATGACAATACCTTCATCCCGAACAATTATGGTCGTATCAGGGATGCCTGCAAACTCGGCCTTGATACGCTCGGTGAAAGCCTAGATGCACATTGAGCATGGAGCGTTACACGGACGTAAAAAGATCAGATATGGGTCAGCATACAGTCGGAGTAATAACATTGGCAGGTAACTCAGTCAACTACAGGTCACAAAAGCTGTCATAAAACCATACAAGAAAAGATAAGGCACTAAAGACATACAGTGCGAGCCAAGTTCTGGGCCTCGGCGTAGATGACACCCTCATTCCACTCCTTCGAGTCGCCGAGCGGTTTGAGATTGAGGTTCTCGGGAACAGGCTCCTTATTTCTCGGGTCAAAGAGAGATTCAGGGCTGGTCTTTAGATTAAAATTGTAGAGTGCCAGATGAGCAGCGACGGCTACAAACAAGAGAAGTGTAAATAAAGAAAATGAGAAAACGGGAAGTCTAATCGTTGATTAGCGCAATATGCGTACCAGCAGCGTGTGGGTCAAGGGAAATGTCAACAGCGACTTCCTTGCCCTGGACACCCTCGCCAATGTTCCTGACCTCCTTGACCGCACTGCCAACGGCTTTCCTAACCAATTCTCTCTTCTCTACCGGCTTCTTCGACGCAAACTTGTCGCCAAGGGAAGACAGAGCGACGATCTTATCACCATAGAAAACATGCGTGGTTCCCACTTTCGCAGGTTTAGGTCCGACAGGAACAGAAGACCACAACTTTTCGGTATCGACCTCTTGGATAGCCTTGGGGGCTGTCGGGTCTACGGGAACAACATAAATTGAAGACATTGTACGATGGAGAGTGAGCGAGCGACCTGGACAGAGAACGAGACGACGGGCGAGCATTCCCAGCTCGCGGTAGCTGTACGTGTTCAACCCGGGTTCAACCTGCAGAAAGTGTTTCATTCCGATCAGTTGGTCGATCGACAACCAGCCCGATCAGTTATCAGGCAACCTCAGCTTACTCCCGTCAAGGAGTCCTCGACAATGTTACATGGCCCAAGCTCCTCGATTAAACCTGAGCACATTGAGCGGATGTCTGAGCTAAGCCATTTTCAATGTCTAATCTGACTTCTCACATATCGAAGCACTGCAGGATGCAGTTGCTCAGCTGACCATAAGGGCTGCATGATAACGTCCAAGATTAGAAATACCAGAGCGGGAGTGCGAATGATACAATTGGAACCGACTACGCGAATAACCTCCCCTCCCTAAGATACCAAAGGTTGTCAAGCTACACACAGGTCCATGCAGGAGTCGCAAAAATAATCTATAGACGGACGGTATGTCAGCTGCCGGACAAAATAATGTGCCAGGCGACAGACCATAATGTAAGTAGACGTTTTGCAGTTGAATGGTTTACCATCCAGCGTGGCAATGCCCCTCGCATCTCGCCTGTGAGTATTAGCAAGATCAGTACTGCAGGAGCTGAGGACGTAGGACGCAGCTACTCACGATGTTCTCCGATCCCAGTTCAGCCTTCTGTAGGAGTATCGCAACGATTCTCAATGCTATGGTACGTCAAGAAGCAAAACCCTGGACACTTACAGGCTCAGGGGCCGGTGCAGGCACCTAGAGCAGATCAGGAATACTTAGCGAGAACATGGCGAGCACGAGGGGAGCTAGTAGCTTACTGGGGACGCCGAAACGGTACCGGTGAGAACCAAAAGCGTTAGAGCGAGGTAGAACTTCATCGATGTCTTCGTGCTCCAACGAATAGCAGGTTAAGTGCGGTTGACTGAAAGAGCCAATGCTGCTATATAGCGATCGGTTGGACTGTAGGCAGGTGATGGCTCTTGCAGAAGAGAGGCACGCGAACGGTAGAGTCAGAAATGGGGCCTAACGTCAGAGCCGGAATAAAAGAGCAACTCACGAGGACCATGTGGGAGACGTCGATTGATAATGTGATCATTCTTCCTGCCAATCTTTGCCAATCTAACTGCACAAGGCTAATAGCTGCTATTAGCTTCGTGTCGTTCCGGGCCTTCCGTTACTCAACGCCTCGACCTCTCCCGATTAACATCCGAGCGCCCGCACTTAAACACTACAGCCCTTCAACGTCGTACCCGCTGGGCCTGTAGCCATACGACCATCATGGTTGCGTTGAGGGATTATCGTTGTCGAAAACAAGTAATGCTCCTTTGAAGGTCAGTGTCACACATGGTAACAACTGGCGATTTCCACTATGCAACTACCTGTCAGAGGTGCACATCGTAAGTCCCCCCCTGTCTGTCAGGTACATAAAACGTGTGTGGGTCCATATCATTGCTTCAGAGGCAATGGCTTCATCATCGATCCGGATTCACGATTGAGTTTTGACTTTACTGCGGGCGTCGTTTTCCAGCGTCACAAGAAAAGAATAGTTTCCGAAGAGAAAGTACAATCAATCAAAACAAAAATATACTAAACAATCCACCAAAAGATGCTAATACGAACCAGCGACTTTGCTCGCATCCGAATCCCAATCAATCTTCTGCTTCAGCATCCCCGTCAGAATAAGTTCCTGATTAAAGATAGGGAAACCAGCCTCAGCGAGAGGCCGCCAGATAGACTTATCATCCACGCAAGAGATCACGAAACGGTCCTGAATCGCCTTCAGGATGCGGACTGTGGGTGTCCCGCTTCCAACCTAATGCTACGTCAACGACAAAACAGAGAATGAGCCAGTGCGACACATACCTTGCCACCGCCGGCCGCGATGACATTTTTCAACAGTTTCGTCTCCACGGGAACTCTCGGAGTGATGTAGAACGTCATACCGCTAAAAAGCTTCCCTCCATTCTCCCTTGCACGCTCAAGGGCTTCATCTAATTTGAACCCAAACTTTCGTTCGTGTTCAGGGTCATGAAGCAGGAAGTCATCTTCAACTGCGAAAAAGACGGTCAATATTTTTTTCGGATGCAACAGATGCTGGGAAAACGAACTTATCAGGCGTTTCGTATAGGCACAAGTCTCAACCCATTTGTCAGTAACGACAATGGGTGCTCGGGCCATCGCACACAGGAACTTCTCAGTACGAACGAGAGCTTTGGTGACAAGGTGCGTACACTCTGCTGGATTCGTCGTAAATTGTACGCCCAAGCGACCCATTGACTATAGATAGATATCAGTGTCGATTTGACACAGAGTGAATTTGAGATGGACGTACCTTCTTCACATCGTCCGAGAGCGTCACCTGGGTAGTCATGATGACGATACTACTCGGATCTTTCTGGTTGAGTTTCCCACTGTATGATAACGAGTCATGAGCGAAGACTCCAAAGGATAGAAAAACGAACATACCTCGACTTTGGGGCAAGTGCTTTGGCATCACTCTTGCCGGGCTTCTTCCCCTTCACCTCTTCGTCCGTCTCTTCATCGGAGATGCTTTGCGCGTTCACCCTATTCCTGTCTGTCTTAGCTGTAGAAGCGCGTGCGCCACTGAGCCTTCGCTTCTTCCTATCCGGAGCGTCTTCATGTTCCTCTTCGTCTTCACTTCCACCATCACCCATAGACAGGCGTTTCTTTCCCTTAACCTTGGCTTTCGAACCGTCTGCTTTAGACTGATCTCGTTCGTTGATTTCCCAGCTACCTTTCATGTTACCCCGTTTCAGCTGTTTCTGGAAGTTATTCATGTCTGGCATAACTTCGTCTCTCAGCTTCTTCGTAGCTTTTGTCGCTGCAGAGCGCTTTGAAGAAGTTCTCCGCGATGTCGCGGGCGTCTCCGTAATGTCATCTCTACGGCTTGGGCCTGGTTCAGGAGTGGCTGGTCGTCGAGACTTGGGTGTCTTCTTTGGTACGGGTGCTGGGGAGGACGAACGGGAAGATGAAGTGGAGGGTGAAGGCGACCGCCCTTTACGAGGTCGGTCACGCTTAGGAGAATCTGTAACGCCTTTCTGAGCTTTGGTAGACATCGAGTTCCTACGCGTGAGACGTTCGCCCTGGGAAGACTTGACAGAAGTCATAGACGCGTTCCTGCGCAATTCAAAAATTTCTTCCCCTTTCTCCTGCGAAGCGGAGTATACCTGCTCTTTTGTAGGCAACAACACTGATAGGCGTCGCTTAGGAGTACGGCCAGGTTTAGCTGGCGAAGACGGCTTGGAGACATCTTGATTTAATTGAGATGCGTTGCGAGTAAGAGGCTTCCTTGGAGCGGGACGTTCTTCGTCCTCAACATCCGTGTCAAGCTCAATGGGGACCGCAGCTTTGCGAGATTGGCTTCCAGTTCGTCGTAGCTTGGCTGGGGTCTTGGGTGAATGATCTTCGTTCCGTTCGGATTCGTCGGAATCAGTATCCAGGCTCAGCCTTTTCTTCTCCTTCCCAGGTGTTGTGGTAGCGGGCCGAGCCTTCATGGGGAGCGTTTGCTCGAGGACTTCAACTTCAGAGTCAGTTGTAGCCAGAGCAACATTCTTCCCCTTCGCACTGATCGAGGATTTAGGTTTCGCTGAAGCTCCGGCGGCTTTCTTCGACGGCCCAGGTAAGACTTCGAGTTCCGACGCATCATCGCTGGTAGACAGTAGAGGACGTTTCTTGGCATTAGGTGTCGCTTTCGGCTGCATCCGACTCTTCGTTGTGGACTTCGGTTCGTCTACTTGGCCCTTTTCAGATTCACCAAGGGGAACTTTACGAGGTCGACCGCGACTCTTCTTGGGAGGAGATGTCTCTTCCACCTCGGAATGCTCAGGCTCAGAGGCAGGTACCTTCCTCGGCCGGCCACGACCTCTCTTCTCTGCCTTCTCCTCTGCCTTCCTGCCTTCTTCCGGTTTAGCGTCCGCCATCTCCCCGTCCTCATCAGGTGCGCTCTTCCTCGGGCGTCCCCGTGGCCGCTTTGGCGGATTGACTTTCGCAGCGACTGTTTCTGCATCCTCCATGTCGACATCAACATCAGATATGGCAGGTCTCTTGGATTTCGGGGCGGCCGGACCCTTTGACTTGGAGGTGGAAGGTTGCTTCATGCCGACACCATCGTCGTCCTCTTCCTCTTCGTCGCTGGTGGTATTTTCGACCTTGCGTTTCTGCGTTGAATAATTGGCAGCTTTGGCAGGCGGCTCCTCAACTTCGGACTCGGACTCGGTTAAGAGTAGAAGTTCGCTTTTCCTAGGAGGAACTGTACGCGGGGGAGGTTTCTTCTTCTTAGCTGAAGCCACCTTCTTGTGTTCGTATTCCTCGTGCTCTGACTCCTCGCTTTCAGCAACCGGAGCAGGTTTTGGCTTTGGCTTCGATTTGGCTTTGGGCGGTGAAGGCTCGGCTTCGGGCTTCTTCACAGCAGGCTTAGCTTTGCCCTTGAATGAAGGGGTCTTGACTTTAGAAGATGATGGTTGAGGTTCATTGTCTTTGTCGATGTCCATGCCGTCTTGGATATCAAGGTCGAGGTATGCGCCGGCACTGACGTCTCCAACACCGTTCATCGCGACATCACCATCGGGTTCGTGCTCTGCGATAGCGTCTTCGACCTCCTTCATACTTCTCCCGCTTAACCGAGGTTCCTCGGGCACCTGCCGGGCGACGCCATTTACAGCATCTTCTCCACGTTCCTCCGCCTCGACATCTCTCTCCATCGCCTCAAGCTCGGAAACGTCGTAACCAATCCTGCCGATGCCTTTCTCACCAAGCAGGGTACCAAAGTCAACTCCGGGAGGGAAACAAGAAAACTTCTCATTCGAGGGAGAGAGACACCGCCAGTTGATGAAGCAGTCTTCGAGCCAGAGATGATTTACGACAGGTATACCCCAGGAGATCGCTTTCTGGGTCTTCGTACCATGGATGCTGAAAGAGAGGTAAGAGGTTAGGAAGGTATTAACGCAAAAATGCGCGAAACGTACTATGCTGCGATGACTACCGTGTTCTTTCCAGACATGCTGGGTGTAAACTCTCCACCAAGCGTCGCGATTAGCTTCTTGAGGTACTCGCGGTCTTTACCAGTGTAATTCGTGATCGTAATTAACTACAGATTCAAGTTAGGAATTTTATTCTCGGAGCAATTCTAGGGAAAGCAGACTACGCACATGCTTAGAGAAGCCCTCAATGGGCTTCTTCGGGACAGGGTAGTGGAGGATCTGTTCAGACGGTCGAGAGATCTTACCCGTCGACCGAACGTACCAGAGCCACGGCAAAGAACCGATCGTCTTCTTAAGCCGATACGCCTGCAAATTAGTTAGTATATATACAGGAACACAATATGAACTAAATATGCCTTGATGTATGTGGGCCCTGTGCGATACCTCGTAATGAGGATATCTGCCTCTTCCACATTTTCATCTCCTTGTACAACCACCCCGCCTTCTCTCCGAATATCAACTTCGTGAGCGGAGCGTTGGCTCTCTGTGAGCTCAAGCGAAGACGCAAGTAAAATCTTTCGTCCTTTCCAGATATTGCGTGTAGTAGTCTTTGGCAGGCTTGCATCATCAGCGGGAGAAGCTAAGGCAGTATCATAGAGCGCCTTCTTCTCAGGAGACATCGACGATGCGGACCTCCGATCTTCTGGCTGCAAGTTGTCCCATCCAACCTTGAAAACTGTAGGCTGAGGCCATTCATATGATTCGGTGGGTAAGCCACGCATGCCCAACCGTACGGAGTCATCGAACCAATGCGGAACAAGGATCTTGATGTTAATGTTCTTCTGAAAATGCATGGCAGTCTCGTACTTTGCACTTCCCGTACTTAGAGCAAAGAGATGCGTGACCTCTTTGGTCAATGTGGTTCTCCATTGACCTCCAAGCGCGGTAATTCCCGCTGAAAGAACTTCGAGGTCGGAGGAGGAGAGATCGGTGGCCGCAGCAGTCACTCCTGAGAATATGAGAGTCGGATCTGGCGAGTAGCAAGCTGGGTCTTGTTTGGTAGCGATAACGACTGTTCGTTCAATCCAGAGAGGAGTGACTAGGTGAGCGGTGGTATTGGAAGGAAGATCATCGAATGATTGAGACTCCGGGTGAGGTAAGGTATTGGTGATAAAGTGCGTGAGTTTGGCGTCATTTGCAGAGACAGGTTGAGCACCGTTTGCTTCGAGTAAGGCCGAAAGTTGCTTTCGACGACTGTCGTCTATTGAGCTCGATATCGAGTAGTATACACCATCGAAGAGAGGCTCAGCCATCGAGCGCGTCATATGTTCTATTCACGTAAATACCAGTAAGAGATTGAAGCACAGGGTATGCAATGAAAGAGGACCAACCGCTCTCGACTTCCGCTGACCGTCCTTGAGGAAACAGAGCGCAACAGGGTTATGAAAAGCGCGATCGAGTACGTGCCTAGTAGCAAGAGCTAAATGGTGTAAAGTGTATACACGACACTGTCCTCGTACCGGGTGGTTTGTATGGCCCACTAAACGTTCTCCTGAGTCCAAGAGGTATGGAACGACAGAGACGAGCAGAAGGAAGCCGCTTCAAGAGCCTTTCATTGTCAAGCTCGTCAAGGGCCAAAACCAGTGTCACGGCGTAACTATCCGTCACATTGTCATGTGCCGTGACGATTGGCGTTACACCTTCGTATCTTCTCGCCTTCTAAGTTCTCGCATTCCCTATGCAGTCCATTCTTAACACAATGTTCTTCCCAGGTGCTTCACGGTTATGTGATGTTTTGCAAAAGGTCCATGTTGATTAACACATCACAGAAATCGAACTGCCATAATGACGCCGAGAAGCCGAGGATTCGAGTAAGTACTGTTTGCACTTCCGCGTTTCCAGCTATATATACTGTTTGGGAACTGACTTGACTTAACCATGTTCAGGAATCTGGTCTACCCGCGTCAAGAGCCTGTGAGAGCGTGAAGCGATATCTCTCTTTACAGCCCTGCCCCCATGTCAGGGACGGTATGGATGAATACCTGCTCTATTTTTCTTTCCATTTTCGACTTGAACGACTCTTTGGACCCGAGGCTACTCTCATTGCAAGAGCGATACGCGATCACTGTACCATCGCTGACTACGAAGACTCGCCAGGATCCCTGAAAGCGGTGCACCTGGCCCATAATGTGAACATCGGTTTCTTGCCGGAATTAATGTCTCTTCAACGTGATTTCATCTTGGTCGCATGTCGTATCACGTGGTGCGACTTTCCGATTATGTGCTCCCTCTTTCAACTTCATTTTCGCTAAAAAGGCGAGCCTGCTGTGCTATCTGAACTGCTTTTTGAATTCGGTTCTGCAATTGGTGAAAAAACTGAACTCTATCATTATCAGGCCTCAGGAGTCAGCTGCTATGTAAATTGGGTTGGTGAAACAAACTGACAGTTACGCATCTATATTTGTATACTTTCGCTGTCTTCGTCGTTTCCCTCCTCGGACGTTAGTTCTCATTTTTCGGAACAATGTGGGTATCACAGGGCCTTCAGATGCATCAATACGTGAAGCAGAAAACGGTCCCTCTCCCATTAAGACATAATGGACGGAGATCTGGAATCCTGATATTCCACTGGACACTGTCTGCATGTAAGTACTATCGGATTGGCGTCAGCAATAACATTTGGTAGGAAACCGACCCAGCTGTTCGATTACAACTCCCAAGAAATACCGAGGTATCGTGGAACTTGACATCACGAATGCTCAGGTATTCAGCACCCAGTTTCCGCTGTTTGCTTCAGACCCAACAAGATAAGGAGGCATTGCTTGATATCTCAACAGGCATATAAGGAGTGCTGGAATGAGCCCTCTTCTCACTCATTCCGTTTCAATATCTACTATAGTCAACATCCAAACGTTCACCTGCCATGAACATTCTCTAAGTCATACTCGCTAGCGGTACCGCCTGGTTGATATGACGTGTAGTACACAATTTCATTTGCTCTGCAGTGGACAATATTCCTGGACCAGCTTCTCCCTCTTTGATCAGAGGTATATCGCATCTTTATAGGTTTATACACCTTGCTAATGCATTTGACAGGTAATCTTGGGCAGTTGCTCAATCGACATAGCTGGGACTTCGTTGACAAGGTCGGAGAGAAGTACGGTAAGGTAGTCAGATTGACTGGTCTCTCTGGTGTGGGCACATGCAGTTATTGTTGTCGTCGAATGATTAGTCTTGTGAACAGTACAGAATGTTGCATGTGTTTGATCTCAAGGCATTACACCAGGTCATGATTAAAGAGGCTGGTGTTTACAATCTTCCATAGTCATTAAAGTAAGATCAAACTTATATACCATTGCAACCTCCCTGACTCTTCTGTAGTGGTATCAAGATGACCATGAGTCCTAGGTTACTTGCTGTTTTGAAAAATATTACACCTATTCTGCTACATCTCTCAATAGCTCGCAATTCAACATTATAGGTGATCACCATCGTCGACAGTGTGAAATGCTGAACCCCATCTTCTCTATCAAGCATATATGATTATTGACCCCACTGTTCTATGATGTCACTGAATTTGAACTAACCTCTATTAGTTGCATGGTGGAATTGGCGCACAAGTAGGAGACGGTCCAACCACTGTCAACATTCTTGATTGGTTCAGGTGAACTGCCCTTGAGCTTCTTGGCCAAGATGGCCTAGGGCATTCTCTTGATCTGTTAGATACACCTACTCCCAATCCCTGTGGCGACGCTCTCAAAGAATTCTTGTAAGTTCAACATCTTCCCTTGACTGGCGATGGACTCAGCGAGATCGACAGATGACTGGCCAATCCCCCAAACACTCAGTATCTCAGGATATGTTGCTGAATATCCCCATATTCATTCAACATCTCCAACTGTTTGCCACCAGTTTCAGACTAAGTGGTTTTCTGAATCCCTCATGCGCGCGGTGAGGGAATCAGGAAGATTGACTTGACGCATTTGTTACAGCACGTGCAAGTGAACTTGGAAATATTTTCAGGTTCAACAATGATGATAATGCAATATAACAGTCTGTCCTGTTGCACCGGTATGATCCTTGAGAATATAATTGTGTGTGTGGCTAACATCAATATCTGCAGACTCATAAGATATTGATCTGCTATTGTGTGAGCATCATTTTGAGTTGCCTCAGCATGTGGCCCTCACGATCTCATTTCTAGAGGTCACAATCACACATGTGGACACTAATGAAATCCATTATTTAGCAACTCACGTGTCGAGGAGGCCAAAACTTTGCCACACATACAAATATATAAATTCAGTCTTGCTCCAGCTTCATGTAAGTAAACCATTTCTCTTCAATATGACTCCATCTCAGAAACCATTCTCTGCCATCCACAGAGACATTGCAGGCTTTTTAACAAACTCAAACAAATGTATCTCTGCTGTTGAGTTACATGACACAGTGGCATTCAACATGTATGGAAGCATCATAGGTCCCATGCCTGCAGACCTCTTCATGAACAAATTCATAGATGTCGACCAAAATTTCAATGTCCATATTCCCCAAGATTTCTTTAAAACTGAGATTTTTTTGAATGTTGAAGCTGAAAAGAAGATGTATGAGTCTTTTGTAAGTTCTTCACCAGAGTGCAGTTTTTTTAATACTAATTGCTAACAATCTATAAAGGTCAAACTCATGAATAAGACTAAGAGCTTGTGCCCTGAGTTTACTTTTTATGTCACAGCACACAATACAGACTCTAAAATAAACTCAGATATGCATCCTAATATAGGCCTCTATAAAGGGAGGGGTTCATGAACAAACTTGACTTCTCTTTAGTCGATCTCATTGGTGAATTCAAGGTGTTAGAGACAGACAACAGATTCTGCACCAAATTCAAGACCAATCAATATGTGGAGAATGATACTGCCACAGCGAAGAAAATGAGAGGACAGATATGCTCATATACTGCCCTTCAGATGTTGCACCAGCATCGGCTTTTCATCTTTGCCTTCGGAATCTACGGTTCCTATGCTCGCATCTACTGTATGGACTATTCTAGTATTATTGTCACTGCACCCATCTGCTATATCGACAAACCACAAATCTTGGCAGAATTCTTCTGGCACTATACCTGACTTTCAGATGCTCAGTATAGATATGATCCAACAGTGGTACCAGTATTGCGAGCTGAACGCGCCTTATTCGAAGCCAAGGTCAAAGAATATCTCGCCCGTGTGAGAGATCAGAACCTATGCAAGTACCCTAGAATTGACAATATTGCAAGGGGTAACTATGTTACCTCAAAGATGCAAGTGACTGACCGCGATGGTCACACACACCCCTATATAGTGCAGAGGCCTCTGGCCCAGCTACCAATTCTGTCTCCCTGCAGTCATGCTACTTGAAGATACATCGCAGTTCGAGTTCCAGATCTCAAACTCAAATGTTTCAATGACTCGCAGAACACTGCTGAAAATGAAAAGGGGAAGCTGAAATGGTTAAAAGATTGTTGGCAAACTACTGACTATAAGCAGGAGGCCAACATCTTTCATGATCTCTAACAGGCTCATGTTCTATATTGTCTCATTGTCAGATGTGCTGGAGATATTATGGATGGAGATGGGGTCCAACAGACTATGAACCAGGATTAACTGGAGAACCTGGATGCTAAGAAATGGAAGTGACCCACCATGATCATCAGGACACTAATTCATCATTGTGTAGTTCAGAAACTTCTACATCCCCTCAAATCTGTCAAGAGTACTAAAGAGCTTGTACATCACATGATTTGGTCCAGAATTGGCAGAGATACTTGAGTTGCAAAGAGCACTACTCATTAAAAGGGTTTTATTGCGCACTATTCTACTAAATGAAAACTTGAAATTTGAGTACTTATTAGAGTTTTCTCTTAATTTAAATTAGTGTATAGACCTACCAAGGGATGCTCCAAATTGAATGAGAATAAGCCTTCTTTGATACAACCTCTTAATTCTTCTGCATTCTCTTCTATCACTTTGATATCTCTTTTTATAATATTCTCAGTTCTTCAAGCTTTCTTCTCAAATGGTTTCAAGAACTGTTAATAAGATTGATTTCAGAGGACTGAATGGAGTATAGAGAAATCTTAAACTTATAACTTTTTAGTCAGTTCTTAGCATTTTTTAGGATATTTGTTTTACTGAAAGTCAATACTCTTGAAATATTTCTATAATATCTCAGATACTCTCAAAGTTTATCATTGAGTACATATGTGTATAGATTGACATTGACAATGTTTTTATGATTTATTATATATCTCACTTTCATTTATTGTCTACACCCCTATGCACACTCTTTAATTTTAGCTATACTATGCTGAATATGCTAAACTCTATTATAAAATATCAGAAGTGAAGCCAAAATTACTAGAGATAGTTTCTTCATATATATAAGATCAGTATTAGTTATCTGAGATCAAAAGATTGAAAGTCAATATTAAAAAAGGAGATAAAGAATGTAAACAATGAGTTCTTACAAAGTATAGCTAAAATTGAAGAGTGTGCATAGAGGTGTAGACAATAAATGAAAGTGAGATATATAATAAATCATAAAAACATTGTCAATGTCAATCTATACACATATGTACTCAATGATAAACTTTGAGAGTATCTGAGATATTATAGAAATATTTCAAGAGTATTGACTTTCAGTAAAACAAATATCCTAAAAAATGCTAAGAACTGACTAAAAAGTTATAAGTTTAAGATTTCTCTATACTCCATTCAGTCCTCTGAAATCAATCTTATTAACA